TTAACTGTACATTTTAAAATAATTAAAATGGTAAATTTTGTGTATATTTTATGACAAGAAAAAATAGCTTCACCAAGTATAAGTAATCTATGTGGTATAATCACACCTATTTATGCAAGATTATGCATATTTTGCATATGTACAAAATAATTCAAGGAAAAAGAATATACACATATATTAGCTCTAATTCTCACTGCTATAGTGGGGAATGTAGAATATTTTTTCTTTGTGCTTTTTTTCCTTCCAAAATGATATGGTAAGAAAGAAAAGTTTTTATAAGTTAAAAAAAGTTAATTAAACTTACAAAATAAGCCTTTGGTGAAACTCATTACACTTATTGATAATTAATTGATTTGTGTTAAAAGGTCATGTTTAAGTAAAAAGTGATTTTTTCAAGATGCAAATAGAGTATCTGACACTTCATATAATAAAAGAAAATTGACTTTTTAACACAAAATTTGACATAAACTGTTATTTGTTGATTCTTCCAAGCAATCACATTTTCCTTGAGTCCCATTAAATGTCAGGAAGTGCTGGACACTAGAATCACCTGAGGCATGTCTTAGGCAGACATCCTGCTGTTCAGGAGCTTACCATTTTTAAAGGGGGAGATATACTGAGAAATAAAACTGCACTATGGTATGATAAGAACTTTAGAAGAGGGAGGTCTAAGGTGCTTTATGGCACCTGAGGGTAAACACCATATAAGGTGACCGAAGCTTGGGTTGAAATATTTCCTGGGTGACACTGGATGTAAACTTGTTTTTGACCTTTATCGGGTAGCCTGGGGGATTTCCCTGTGTACTGCTTGCCTCCTGAGTTGCTTCCAACCAATCACAATCAGCCCCAGTAACAGCAGGTGCATGGCACTTAAACACAGAGCCACAAAGTACAATGGTCCCTTCTGTTTACCTAGCTGGCTTGTGCATCTACTTTTAAACATGAGTCCCAGCCAGGCGCGGTGGCTCACGCCTGTAACCCTAGCACTCTGGGAGGCCGAAGCGGGTGGATTGTTTGAGCTCAGGTGTTCGAGATCAGCCTGAGCAAGAGCAAGATCCTGTCTCTACTAAAAAAAAAAAACATCATGAGTCCCATGAGAGTGACTGGCCCTAGTAACAGCAGAAATATCACTGAGATGTTGAATTCTGGGTACTGCTCAGGGTTAATGTCTGGCACAGTTGCAGCTCCACTGTATGTGTTCATGCTCTGCTCCAGCGATGTTGCTTTGGTCTCATGGACTGGGGTAGTGGCTTCATGGTGAGCACCCTCTACTGGCACAAGAGGCAAGTACAGTATATCCACAGTGCTCACTTCTCTAGACTCTCCCCTGAGACCAGAGCCACCGAAACCATCCTGATCCTGGTGTGCACCTTTGTCACCTTATACTCGTTCTCTTCCATCTTGGTGCTTTATATGGCACTCCTTGATAATTCAGAGTTATGGCTGATAAAAACCATTGCATTTGTAGAAACATGTTCCCCCATTTTTAGCCCCTTTGTACTCACCGGTAATAGTAACACTGCCTCCAGGCTTTATTTTCCCTGCTGGGGGAAAAGGTAATTTTCTCTAAATTTGTCACAAGGTCTGGTGGTTTGTGTTCTCTGACATATTCACAAGTTCCTTCATCCACTATGTAAGGCTAAGCCTCTACTGCTGCAGTCTCCAACTCCCAGGCCGCAGAGCTCTGCTGCCACCCCTTTCCTTTCCCCCAATCTGTGGAAAAATTGTCTTCCATGAAACTTAGGAAGGGAGAGGGCACACAGCAGAAGGTGAGCAGCTTTCGAGCAAGCTAAACTTCATGTGTATTTACAGCCACACCCCATCGCTTGCGTCACTGCCTAAGCCTCACCTCCCCCACCCCACTATCCATGTAAAAACTGTCTTCCATGAAACTGGTCCCTGATGCCAAAAAGGTTGGGGACAGCTACTTTACTGTGTGCCAGACACTAATAGGTAATGGCATAATAAATGAAGCAGGCACAGAAGTCCCATCCCTCACAGAGGTGGCAACATATTTCAATGATCTTAAGACACACCTTTTTCTTCATTCTAATAAGTCTGAAATTAGGAGACATCATATACTGATGTTAGTCTGTGTGACTGATTCCTGCATTATATAAAACATTAAGGTACCTTATTACAGCATTTTTCTTTCTGGATTGCCTATAAAACTTTAACCAGTACACAGATTTTAAGCATGCATCTGTACAAATTATTACATAATTTAAATTACTATAAATGCTAGAAAGTCAAGTTTAGGTGATTATGAGGAAACACACCCAACAGACTTCAAGTAGTCTGAAGGCTTAGGAAAAGATTCCTTGAGAATATTTTTTTTATGTTTGAAATGAATTTTCTGCAGTGATTTACTAAATGTAGAGTGTTGGAAAGAGTATTCCAAGAATAGACAAAGGTCCATGTGAAGGGCTGCTGTTGGGAAGTGCTGTGAGCATTCAGGAAACTGAAAGGGCTGAGACAGAATAAAGGATAATTCACATCGAGATGCTGAATTGGGCAGATACAATTATTTCTGGAAATACTAAATAATAAATTAGCTGACCCATAAACCCAATGTAGAAAATTTATAAATTTTAAATGATTAAAAATTAAACCTTAGTTTTATAAAACTACAATAATATGATAACATTGTTTATATGATGGTAAACAGCAAAAAGATACAGCTCAACTTTAAAATTATTAAACCAGTCTAACTGTTTAAAAAGTCATCTTGATAGGTATATGAACTTTTAAAAATATTTACAAACACCTACATACATAAACCAAACGTTTAAAGACTATGGATAGTACACAAAAGCTCTGAGGGTTTTCTGTTTCTTCTTATCTGGTAACCTAGAACTTAAGTCCATTATTCAAAATCACAGCTTAACAAATTTAGCAAGATTGTACTTAGAACACTTAGCAACATTGTATTTAGAAATGTAAATGGCTTATTTATCTTTCCTACATTCTATGTTAGGACAAATAATTTTTTCTTACATTATCAACATGTATATTTTTCAAAATTTTTCTGTAGTTGTTTTATGTATGTTGTGTGTCTTTTCTTTTCTTTTCTTTTTTTTTACCCTTAAAGTTCTGTTAACTTTCAAATCCTTTTCAGTTCAGGTCTACTAGATATTTTCCAACCATATTTTTTTCCATATTTCTCCATCCTTGGCTCAATCAAAGGACAGAGTCACTGATAGGTGTCAGGGTTCTCTGAAGTATGTATGTACAGGAGAGAAATGAATGTTTTAATAAAATTTTCCTTCCCAACCTGGGATTTGGGAAGTCTTTTACAATGTCAAAGATTTGAACACAACAAGAATGAAAGTCCATTTTCCAGGAATGTGTCTCCTCTGTGTAGAAGTTGCAATCCAAAGGCCACTGAAAGGGGAAAAAGGGAAAGAACGGGGTACAAATAGAAAAAAGGGCCAGGAAGGGTGGCTCACACATGTAATCCCAGAACTTTGAGAGGCCGAGGTGGGAGGATCACTTGAGGCCAGGAGTTCAAGACCAACCTGGGCAAAATAGCAAGACTCCATCTCCACAAAAATATTAAAGAAATTAGCTGGACATAGTGGTGTGTGCCTGTAGTCCCAGCTACTCGGGAAGCTGAAGCAGGACAATCTCTTGAACCCAGGAGTTTGAAGTTACAGTGAGCTATGATCATGTCACTGCACTTCAGCCTGGGCAACACACGAAGACCATGTCTCTTAAAAAAAAGAAAGAAAAAAGGACAGGATTTGTGTGGATTCACCAGTGACCAGGTTTTAAGTTCACCATAATTTACTTAAAGCCAGAGCTTCCCTAAGTGTACCCTGCAGCATTGTTTATTTACAGGACAAAAAGAAATTAAATTCTGATCAATGAATGGTCCACTCTCTATATTTGGTACAAGGAGGCTTCCAAATGCAATTTAAACTCTACGGTTGCTTCCCTGAAAGATGTTTTAGCTAAGAGTACCTTCTTAGTATTAATATAATCTTAGCACTAGACCACAGGGTGGAGTACCAGTACCTTCTTTGTAGATCTAAGATCTTAGATCTTAAAAGATGGACCTTAGTAGATCCACTAGTTGCTAGGATGTCAACAACCTAAAATGAATAATATGTAACAATTAATCTAAATGCTCTTTCAAATAAATACTTACGTTAATACAATCGGTGAAAATTATTCCAAATGAATTTATGACCCAGTGTTTTCACTACACTTATTTCTTAGAAAGTGTCCTAAGAGCTATCAAAGACTAACAGCCACCAACACCACTGGCAGGCAAAGCCTCAAAGGCAGGAAGAGGAGTGGGAAAGCGTTATGTGAGAAACGGCAAGTCTTCAGGTATACCCTGACTGGGAAGCTGTCGGTGTGACAACTAGAAGCAGAATATCCTGCATGATTGGTTAGGGATACATATTTGGCTTCCTATCATTAGTAGTGAGTTGGAAATGAGGACAAAACTTAGGAAAGCTGTCTATTTTTAGTCATGTCCTGGCCATTTGAGGCTGATTGTTACCAGAGCATTGGCTAGGCTTGCTAGATTGTTGCTAGGCATAGTGGTCTGACATTCTACAAGCCTGACTTACAGAGAGCTGGTTTCTTGAGCTATTAATACAACGGGTTGACTTCCTGGGCTGCTTTGTGCCCAGTGTGGGTCAGCATTCTATTTTCATATATGATCTGGCCATTGTATTGCTCTCAGAAGCACCAGATTGTCACAACTACCCCCTACTCAGGCTTACCTCTGAATCCATAGCATACCTTGGCATCCAGGATACAAATTAGGACAACACCCTGCAACCCTTCCCTGGAGGCCTTGGACAGTAATGCAAACTAGACCCAAACTAGAAAGAGGGCTATATTCTACCATCACACCGTCCTCCTTGAGGCACACAAAGTTGGGATCCCAACACAACTGTTCACCCTTTTATGTTAGCAGAAGCCAATTGTTTCCAAACCACCCCATACAGTGAATAGAATCCCCAAGATTAATGGTGCCTTAAACAATAAGGCCTTTATTATCGTACAAACCAGGGCAATGAAAGGCAGGTGGTTCACACAGTTGATGACTTAGAGGCTGGAAAAGTCCATCAAAACTGTCATCTAAGACCAACAGTATCTAAAATAGGTAGTCCACCTTTCCATGTCAACAGGAGAGTCCTCTGGGTCAAACTGGGTCAGGTTCATGCCCTGATTCATCAGAGAAAAAAAAAAAAGAGAAAGGAATATAATAAATGCTCAGGCTACTTACAAATTCCTCCCATGAGTGAAAGAACACCAAGGTTCACTTACCTGCATACACTGGCGTGGGTGAACTCAGGTGCACATAGTGAGCACCTGCCAGCTGGTAGAGGTAAAATGGCTTCTGCTACAAAACTAGCAATGACATCAATCCACCAAGAGCCCTGGGTAGGGTAAAATGTACAATGCAGCTCTCACATACCTGGAATTTATGTGGATGTTCAATGTATGAGGTTGAATTCAAGCAGATGGCACCCTCACATAAGGGATTTCCTTCAGAGTTGTTACACTGAACAAAGAAACAGCATATCCCTGTATATCAAAGGTGTTCTTCCCACGTAAACTTTGTGTACCTAATGAGATAAGTCCTTCAACTGAATGTTTCCTCACATTCACTGCATTTACAGGACTTTCTCCACGGTGCTAATCTTCCACATCTGCCACTCATAAGGCCTTTATCGACTATGAATCCTCCGGTGTTTAATGAGGCTAGAGTTATGGCTAAAGTACTTCCCACATGCAGTGCACTGATAAGGTCTTTCCCCAGTGTGAACCCTCCTGTGCTTAATGAGGCTAGAGTTTTGAGTAAAGGATTTCCCACATTCACTGCATTCGTAAGGCCTTGATCCAGTGTGAACTCTCTGGTGTTTCTGGAGACTGGAGCTGTAGGTAAAGAATTTCCCACATTCACTGCACGCATAAGGCCTTTCTCCAGTATGAACTCTCCGATGTTGAAGAAGTGCAGAGCTTTGGCTAAAGGATTTCCCACATTCACTGCACTTATAAGGTCTTTCTCCAGTATGAACCCTACGGTGTTCAATGAGGCTGGAGTTTTGGCTAAATGACTTCCCACATTCACTACACTCATAAGGCCTTGATCCACTATGAACTTTCTGGTGCTTTATTAGACTGGAATGGTATGTAAAGAATTTCCCACATTCACTGCACTCATAAGGCCTCTCTCCAGTGTGAACACTCTGGTGTTGAAGGAGTGCAGAGCTTTCACTAAAGGACTTCCCACATTCACTGCACTCATATGGCCTTTCTCCAGTGTGAACTCTCCAATGTTTAATGAGGTTGGATTTGTTGCTAAATAATTTTCCACATTCATCACATTCATGAGGTCGTACTCCAGTATGAACTCTCCGGTGCTGAATGAGGCTAGAGCTTTGCCTAAAGGATTTCCCACATTCCCGACACTCATAAGGCTTTTCTCCAGTGTGAACTCTCCAATGGTCATTGAGGCTGTAGCTTTTGCTAAAGGATTTCCCGCATTCGCTGCACACGTAACATCTTTCTGTAGTGAGGGCTCTCCGCTGCTGAACAAGTTTGCATTTTCGGCTGACTGCTTTTGTATATTCTTCATAGTTGTGCTGAGTTCCTTCACTGTGACTGATAGCCCCACAATTGCTTATGCTATTTGACTGCTCCCCAGTGTGAGTGGCCTGTTGATGGACAAATCCCAACTTGGCCAGGAAGTCCTTCCCAACTTCCCTGCAGGTAAAGGGCTCCCCTGACACATGAAATGTGCAGGTCTTCACAAACAATGTTTTGCCCACACTGCTTCTGAAATGTTTCTCTCCAAAGTGCTCCTTCTGGTGTTGATAAACATCTGCAATGAAATACAATTGTTTCCCACATGCCACACACCTGCAGTTTCTGCCCTTGATGTATTCTCTGGGGCTCAGCCAAGTGTAAAATCTCTCTCAAGACCAGGCCGCACATCTCACAGGGGTGGGCCTTCTGGGGAAACAGACCTGTCTTGGAAGTCCTGAGTTGGGACACTCCTAAAGAAATGCTCTGCTCAGAAGGTACCACCTCATCCACCACTCCATGCTAACAACCTAAAAGCAAGAAATGCTAGTGAAGTGCACACTGACTTTGGTGAGAAGAGGCAGCCGCCATACAAGTGTGTGTATGACAAACCCAGGAACAAGTCCATGGGATTGTCTGCATTACAAGAGAAGTGGGTTGAGGCTGAAACTGCTTAGTAATACTAAGGCTGTATGGAAAAACTGTCTTCCATGAAAAAAAAAATTCTAAGGCTATAAAGATCACAGAATGGGGAGACCTAATGAGGGAAAGCCACACAATGAGGTGTGACACAGAGAGAAGCAGGGTCTAAAATTAAATCCTCTGCAAACAACTTCAGCAGAAACTTATCTGCTGGTGGCATGAGTGCTGGGTAGAATAGTTTACACAGGCCCAAGGAACTATGCCTGCAAGAGAGCAGCTGGCCTTCGAAACTATTTAAGTACACATCTCATGATGCAATATGTAGAGGCCAATGTTGGAGGGCCCTACAGATGGAGCAGTGGAAAAAATGGATAAGATGTGGAGTCCAGAGATGTGTAGATTAGCCCCAGGCTGGATTTAAGACTAAAAGCAACAAGTAGTAGACTTCAAAAGTCAGCAAAGTGTCAAGAATGGTGAAGGAAAACCAGAAATGAGCTGCAGCCACTGGCACTGCAACCAAAATGTTCATCGAGCAGACTAGGTTGCTGCTATGATTTAAACCCTGCCTTCACGTGATGCCTTTACTCAAGTGCCACTCTTCAGGGCCAGGTTCCCTCTGAGCTCATCTTGCTATGGCTGGATTCATAGCCATGTTGTGAACCACTGAAGGCTCTCCACCTCACTCTTAAGATAAACAAATATATGGCACCTGGCTAATACAAAAACTAAGGAAAGAATGGACAGAAGAGCAGCCAGCATTGTCCTATAAAAAAACTCAGCACATGATAGCCCGTAGGAAAAAAAGATACAAATATTACAAAGAAAACTTCAGAGGACTGTCTTATAAGAGTCCATGGTCCACATAAATAGTGACTATGTCAATGACAGTAATCCCTGGCACAGGCAGGCATAAGGAATGCCAGCTACAGAAAGGAAGCAGAACCCGGGGCACACGGGAGTTTTGGATCTGGACGAAGTCACCCAGTCATGGAGAGAACAAGCAAGTAGGGGGATGCATTAGGGTGACTGCAAAACTCCTGACCCTGAATCCCTCCCTATGAGGCTGCTAAGAAACAGGTGTTGGGGCTGCTCAAGGAGACCAGGGGAGTCCATACGCCTCAGCCCTACCAACCACAGAGCCTGCCCAGGGAACCAAGAAGGAAGCAGGTTCTGTCATGAGGACAGATCTGCCACCGTGGAAAAGGGGAAGACACAGACTAGCTAAGGGCACAGAGATGAGTGTGAGAACCTTACCCAGCGAGGTTATAAGAGCCAAGTTCTCCAGCATCACATCACGGTACAGGCATCTTTGAGCCTCATCAAGGAGACCCCATTCCTCCCAGGAGAAGTATACGGCCACATCTTCAAAGGTGACAGTGCCCTGCCAGGATACAGACAGATGAAACCACAAACAGCTCCTCTCCTGAAGACCCACAATCCCTTTTCCCAACACATTTACCCATGCCCATCCTCTTCCCAAACTCCTCAACTGAGAGGAGAAACTATCTCCCGTGCTATTGTCCCACTATCCCCTCAAGGGCTCATTAATCACAAGGATATAGCTATCAGCAATGGGGATGTGGATAAATAGATATCTAAGCTGGGGGCCTGGCACAGAAGGATCCACCATGCAATCCTCCTAGAATACCCAAGGTCAAGTAAGTTTCAATGCCAGGGCCTTGGGGTCATCAGGGTTACTCCTTTTCCAAGTGCACATCATTCTTTAGAATACACATTCCTCCCATCTTCAGATACCACAGTCCCAAACCCATGATCACCACCACCTCACTGCCTCATCCCACAGGTCTCTCCCTGGTCTTCCCATATGTGACTTTGTTTTAATCACCTCTTCCTCACTCCACTGGTGCGGGTGGGATTCCCGCCCTAGGGTTACGGGTATGGCCAAACACAAGATACCTGACACTAGAAAGATAAAACAGATAGTAGTTTATTAATCACGTACACACACAGGCTAGAAGAGGAGGACAAGACATATGACACAAAGCCACATAGAGGTACTATCTAGAAAAAAGTGAACAACCAGGGGCTGTGGGATGCAAGCTTTGTAAGACAAAAAGGGTCAGGTGCCCCCTGGTTCCCACAATTGGTCTGTCTGGATAACTCCCTGGGCTGGCAGGGAGCTGAAATTTGATACAAAGTGATAAGCAGAAATTGTGCCTGGTCCCCTTAATAAAAAAAGTTGTTTGGGGTAAGAGTAGGAAGGAGAGCTTGCACTCAAGCCATCTGATGTCATCCCAATTTCACCAGATGTCAAAACAGTACATAATATAAGGTCTTAATTTTAGACTTTACACTATAATTTAACACACAGTATCTAGAGAGCTGGACAATATCAAACAGAATCTAATACAATCCTAGCCCTCCCACGGCGCCCTCTAGTGGTGGCAGTCCCACATCCTATGAAGGCTCCCTGCCTGTCTCCATTCTTTGGCTCAGACTTAAGACACACAAAAACACATGTTCATCTCAAGATACCCATGGCCCTATTGCACTTCTGAGCTGCACTTGCCCACCCATCAGCACTTACAGCCTTCCTCTGTCCACCTAACCCCACTGAAAGCCCAGCTCCATTGATCAGTCACCCCAGGCCTAGTGACTCTTTGCCCCTAGCATCCTCCAGGCTGAAGGAAACACTCAGGCCTCATCAAAGTCATCACAAAATCCTGGTGATTCCAGAGTGGTGAATAAGTACTTGGTCTGGTTTGAGTGCCATCTCACCTCAAATATACCTATGCCTCTGCATCCATCTTATATCTGTTCTCCCTTGAAAACTTATGCTGTCTGTCAAACTATCCTGTCCAATAATTGATGGCCTCTAACCTCCCTTACCAGTATTTGTAAAGCCCAATACCATCACCCAACTAAAATGTCTAATCCTCAGCCCAGCCCTCACCCTCTCCGTCCTGGCCCCCTAATAGCTGTACCACCATAACCGAAAGATTAACCCTCCTAAATGCGATCCACAGCTCACTCTCTTTGGTCCACACAATAACCACGTTTTGGATGTCTCCATCCCGAACCACTACCCAGATTTCCAGACCTGTGTGTCCAGTTGCTTACTTAATGCCTCCACTCCGTGATCTCTGAAATATCTCAAGCTGTTTATTTATTTATTTATGAATGAATGAGTGAAAGGATCTGTTACCAAGGTTGTAGTGCAGCGGCGCAATTATACGTCACTGCAACCCACTGCAACCTTGAGCTCCTGGCCTCAAGCAAGCCTCCTGCCTCATCTTCCCAAAGCACTGGGATTACAGATGTGAGCCACCACAACTGGCTCAATCTAACTCTTAACATGACCTAATCAAAGCTCCTGATGTCCCCAGTGAATATTACTCTTAATACCAATTTTTCTTGATGGAGTTTACATTCCTACAGCTGCTGAAACAAAAGCTATGGGGTCATCCCTGAATCCTGTTTCACTCCGTCACATCCACACTGGAAAATTTAGTTGCCCAAATCCAGGCCAGAATGCAACCACATCTCCTGAGCCATGAGTCTGGTCCACTAACCCTCACCAGGACTACAGCAGTAGCCTCAGTCCTCATCTTCCTTCTTCCTCCCTCAACTCCACACTTGTTCTTCATTATGCAGACAGATGGAGCCCGTTAAGACTTTGGTAAGATCACCTCCCTCTTCTGACCCAAACTTCCCATTACCTCTAGGATAGATACCCAACTTCTCTGGCAGGCATTGCAGTCCTGACTCCTTCCCCCTGCTCTTTGCTCCCACCTAAAAGAAAAAAGGCCCATGGTTTCCTGAACATTCCCAGTTCAGTTTTACCTCTAAACATTGCACATCCTAGTCCCAGTTCCAGGGAAAACCTTCCACACCCGTTTACACTCACTGCAGTAATGGGAACACTTCCATAAAACCCCTGGTATGGACTTAGGGCTCTGGGCTTGGAGTTCTCCAGGGCGCTAGACCCAAGGATCAGGGGAATAACACTTAAGAGTACTAGGAAATCATAATCTAGAGAACATGCGGATGGGGAATGAGGCCATTGAGGGACTAGAACATCCTCCACTTTCCTACGGCGGTTCCATAAGCCTTTCTGTAGCCATGGGAACCACAGAAAGAGGCAGGCCTTAGAGGAATGTGTCCAGCATAGCCATCCCTGGCCCTGAAATCAGGTGACCTAAGGCTAGCTGGCTGTCTTACCTCCCTGCCTCAGTGTTTACTGTCACCCCTCACCAACTGTAGGGCTCAAAGAAGATGCAACCTCCCAGTGCCTCAATGTCCTCATCGTCCCTTCCACTCTGCTCTTCCTTTGCACAGTCTTTGGGAAAGTTTTAAAACCCTACCTTAGATGGTATCCCTCCTTTACTCAAACCTCTCCACAGCTTCTAAAGTCTTCACAATGAAGACACACCACCGAGCCAGCTAGTCAACGAGGAACTCGGCCTCATATTCTTTGGTCCCTGCGGGGGAAGAGGATCCCAGGTTTCCTGAAACCTCCCGGCTCAGTCGCACCTTCAAGCCTTTGCACGCGCGGGTCGCGCAGCCGCTCACACTGCCCCACCCCCACCCAACCGCACCGAATGTCAGAAACAGGGACCCCACCCGCGAGCGCCTCACTCTCGTGGACACCGGGGCTTGGGCTGCAGGGACGTGAGCAGGCGCCCGTCACTCCAGGTTTGAGGACTTGGGTGGATGAGGACGGGTGAGGCCCCAGGACGCGGCACTTACCTGAGCCGGGTCCCTCAGCGCGGCCGCCGCCATCGGTCTATGGGCGCAGCAAAGACGTGGGCACGGCGGTCCCTATCGCGGGCCTGGCGCGGGTCACTACGGGCGACGATGCCGAGCCTCAGACGCTCCTGAACAGCGGAGACCACGACTCTTCTCGCAGCTTCTCGGCCGCTTTGCTTCGACACAGCCCTCCGCGGCCTCTGATCCGGGAACACACCTAGAGAAGCCAAAATGGCCGCCACGCAGAGGACGACAGAGGTCCCGCCTCCCTTTGTACCACACGAGGAAACGGCTATTTCCTGAGCCCCCATTGGCTTAGCCGCACTGCCATTCAATGCAGAGCATTCTGGGTAAGTGTAGTTCCCATTAGGCCCAGAGGTCGCGATTCACGGTCCTCTCCGCCAACCCTCAGGAGTGAAAACTCAGCTCCAGGTCGGGGAGCGCTAGGAGATGGCTTATCCAGGTCCCAAGTCAGAAGAAGGTCTTTTCCGTTTGTAAAATGGGTCGTAATCAGACGACATGTCTGTGGAGCGCTGTCTGCCACCGATCGCCCAAGTGTTCTGAGACATTATTTCAAACAACATAAAGCTCAGCATGCTACAGATACTATTTCTGATGCTCCCAAGGGCTACCAATCCAAGTACACATATCATTCCATAAAGTCGTTCAGACACAAAATGTGTCTACTCGTAGGGAAGCCAATAAACGCTATCTCATTGCAGTTTAAATGCATGCATTCTGAAGCATTGAAGTTAGTTTGTCAGTCTCTGTATTTTTTGTCAGGGCCCAGAGAAAAAATATTTCAGATAGTGACATGGTAGTGCCTCTGGAAGATAGGGTAGAAATGTTGGGCTTCCCTAAAGCAGTAGTACAAAGGTGAAATTCTTTCTATGGTTCCCACGGAAAACATCTCTCATGGTCAATTATTGTGTCCAATTCATTGAACAACACTTTTATCCATTTAATAACTTTTACTTGATACCTGAGGTATATTTAATTCCTTTTAGGAGTCTAACATCAAGCTCAAAAAATGAACAATGAAAGAAGTGCTATTAATATTTTCATAGGGTAAAAAGCAGGTAAATGGGGCTTCTTAATAAGAAAGGTGGGGAATATACACTTGATGGAGGTGAAGATGAGCCATGTGGGTATTTTTGGAATAAGTTCCAGGCAGAAGAACCAGGTGACTAGGTGACCTGGGTGGGTGGAGACTTCACAGGGCTCCTCGGCAGTGGAGGGCCTGTGACTCCAGCCCAGAGGGTGGTCTTTGCTCACTGCAGAGACACTAGGCATGTGGGTGGGAAACCTCCGTTTTGCCCCTTGGAATCTGCAAATCTCCACCATGATAGGCTGGGGCCTGGAAACAGGCTCACCCTCATCTTTCCTACAACCCTGGTTCTTTTAGTTTGATACCTGGACATTTACTTGTAAGTGTTACCTGGGAACTCATTGGAACTGCATATTCTCAGTCCTGAACCTAGGCCAACTGAATCAGACACTCTGGATCAAGCCCAAGAATCAACGTTTTAATAAGCTTCCAGATGATTTTGATAAACATTCAAGAAATTTCCATCCTTCTGATGTGATTCCTGTGGAACCAGGTGACTGCATTTCTTGAAATTAACAAGAATTTTGTATAAATCTGCAAGAAAAAAAGTGGATTAGTACATATTTGTTTTCCTAATACAAAAAAAAATTATATGGAAGATGGAGGGGAGAAAAAAGAAAAAGAAAAAAATATAAAATGGTTTTTTATGGTTTATTAAAAGTACTATACTATATGCATTTATAAAATAAAATGCCAAAAGTCTCAGATAATTCAACCTTCTGGATAAACAAAATGTTTGCAATATAGTATCCTTTTAGAATTCAGTGTGCACATGGATGCATTCCTCTGTGTATGTATGTTTATATTATTAAATTAAATAAGCAGGAGGCTGGCTGGATGTGGCGGCTCACACCTGCAATCCCTGCATTTTGCGAGGCCAAGGCAGGAGGATTGCTTGAGGCCAGAATTTACAGACCAGCCTGGGCAATACAGTGAGATCCATCTCTACAAACAAAAACAAGAAAAAAATAAAAACCAAAAAAAAAAACAACACTGAACCATAACATAGAAGTAAAACAAGCAGACAAGTTTCAGCAAATCACAAACAGCCAGGTTTCAATCAATCACAGGCAGCCAATTCATCATAGCAAGTTCAAATAAGGCGGATACCTAGCTGCAGCCAACCAATCAGTTTGCTTTGCCTCTGTGTCCATCTATAAAAGCTTGCTGTTCACACTTCTGGGGGAGCTCTCTGAACCTGCATTGGCTCAGGGTGATGCCCAATTCGTGAATCATTCTTTACTCAATGAAACTGCTAAATTTAATTATTTTAAAGCTTTTCTTTTTAATAATATGCCCAAATATGTTCCTGTACAAATTGATACTTAGTAAAAATAAAGTGGTATGTTGTATACAGATTTGCACTTTGCTTTTCTCACTTGCCAATATATGTCTGACAAGGTAACACTATTTTCTCATTTTACACCTGATATCTCTTTATTTCCACACTTAGACAAAAAACTGGCTCTTTTTAAACAACTGCTTTGTATTTCATTGTCTGCATATTCCATGCAGACAAGCTGTAGGGGAGGGAGTCAGGCCTAACATAATGATTTTCCCAGGTCCCCAAAGATTCCATCTCCAAGGTCACTGAAAACTCCATGGCAGCACCTGGGGGCATCTTGTACCTATCCTGCCACTCTCAGCGGTCTGCTGGACCAAGAACCAGGACCAGATAGTGCCAGCATGTAGGCCTGGAGGCTGGTGAATCTGTGCCAAGGGTTGGGATCAGCTACAATGCCTGCCATGAAGTTGAGGACCCATGATGAGAACGTCATCATTTCGGCTATGTCCTGCCTTGCCTGCTGATCCCTGAGATTGTCCCAGCAAGTAGGACCAGCCCTTGGATGAGTGCCACAAGTGGAGCTTCAGCCTCTGGGTGAGAAGTGGGGACTCATATTCTGGAGGAAAGGTGGGATCCAGTGGCTGATGACACACATCTGCACCTAATCTCTGATATGATGATGAGGGTCTCAGCGTCTGCAGTGAGGAGACCAAGAGAGTTGGCCTTAGTGCGCAGGGTCTGCTAAGAAGATGAAGCCACAGGATGTCCTGTTGACACCTCAGGCCTGGGCTCTGAACTCTGCTGTCTCCACCCTCTGCTCTCTGGGCTCCACTTTCCTGTGCAGATTTAGAAAGCACGCTGGCAGGAGAATGGGAAGATGTGACCTCCAAGATCCTTCCTTCAAGGGGCACAGCCCCTGTGCTATCTGTTGTTCAAAGTCTGGAAGTAATTGTTTTGTGTATTTTGTCAAGTTTTATAATCATTTATGGCAGGAGTATAATTGAGGAAGCTGTTATTTCATTACAGTGAGACATACGGCATATTTGAAGAAAATAAAAGGGATTCTGAGAGTTTTAAACCTACTTATCGATATGGAGATTTTTGTTTTTGCACTTGGGAAATTAGAACTAAGTTATGGTTCCTGCCAAACAATAAATATCTATTAACAGGTGAATTGGTAAACATATTGTCATACAGGTATAGAATGGAACACAACTCAGTGGAATTAAAATATAAAGCTCTAAACTTGCCAATATTTATATACGATGATTTATACTTTGGTAGCATTTTCATAATTATACCAATTATACCCACTTTTTAAATTTTTATTTTTAGACAATCATAAAACAGCATATACACACTTTTATCTCTTTTGATATGGAGACTATAGACTAGTTACTTATTTATACATTGCTCATGTACAGCCCAGTCAATGCCAGTGTGAGAAACAGGCAAGGATCGAGGACAGAAAATAGAGAGGTGGGACACTGGGATTGTTTGCATTTCCCACATGGAATTAGGTCTGACTGATTGAGAGTGTTCAGAACAAAGGAGTGAATGAAACCACTTTCTTTCCTATGGGTGTATTTTTCCATTTATTAACTGGGTTTAACCAGACAATCATGAAGAATCATCAAGAATATTTTGAGGTATAATTATTTTACCAAAGGTCAGTATAAATACATTTTATTTTTTTATTTTTTTGAGACAGAGTCTCACTGTGTTGCCCGGGCTAGAGTGCCGTGGCGTCATCCTAGCTCACAGCAACCTCAAACTCCTGGGCTCAAGCGATCCTTCTGCCTCAGCCTCCCAAGTAGCTGGGACTACAGGCATGCGCCACCATGCCTGACTAATTTTTTTTTCTATATATTTTTAGTTGTCTGATTAATTTCTTTCTATTTTTAGTAGAGACGGGGTCTCGCTCTTGCTCAGGCTGGTCTCGAACTCCTGAGCTCAAACAATCCGCCTGCCTCGGCCTCCCAGAGAGCTAGGATTACAGGCGTGAGCCACCGCGCCCAGCCCATTTTATTTTTTTAAAAAGTCATACTTTGCATAAATTACAAACATTAAAGTGATAAACTTGGCATATGTGCAGAAATATGGGAAAACTCACTATTATGTTTTGAAAATGTAGCGATACACATAGTTTGTGTTATATGATTTTGTTAATATGAAATTTCAAAAGAGAAAACTATATTGGTCAGTATTTTCCGCATATCAAGAAAAGCAAGAAACTTATTGGCTCATGGTTCTGGAGCCTGGCAAGTCCAAGATCAAGGGACTGGCATCTGGGGAGGGCTTTCTTGCTGTGTCATCCATGGCACAAAGGCAGAGAGAGAGAGAGAGCAAGAGCAAATGAGAGCACCAAAAGAGGGCAAACTCATCCTTGTATAAGGAACCCACTCCCATGACAACATGAATTTGGGATGAGTCAATGAGAGAAAATATTTGCGATTAATTTATCTAAGTGATAGGACTTACAACTTAACAATAATAAGCCATAACCCCATAAAAATGGGAAAACAAGTTCTGAGCAAACACTTCAAAATGTAACTAATATACATCACGGAAATAAAAATTAAAGCTCACGAGGCACAGTGGTTCACATCTAGCACTTTGGGAGGCTGAGGTGGGGGGATCATTTGAGGTCAGGATTTCGAGACCAGACTGAGCAAGTGCAAGATCCTGTCCCTACAAAAAACAGAAAAATTAACCAAGCATGGTTGTGTGCACCTCCAGCTACTCAGGACGCTGAGGCAAGAGAATTGCTTGAGCCCAGAAGTTTGAGACTGCAGTGAGCAATGATCATGCCACTTGCACTCTAGCCAGATCGACAGTGAGACTCTGTCTCAAAAAAAAAAAAAAAAAAAAAAAAAAAATTAAGAAACTGACATACATAGTTTTGACCAGTGTGTGGAGCAATAGGGATACCATATACTGTTGGTGTTAGCATAAAGCTGTACCAAAAAAGAAAAAATGACAAACTCGAATATATTTTAGCACTTTCTTTTAATATTAAATATACATTTACCTTGTGCTATGGTTTGAATGTTTGTCTCATCTCAAATTCATGTTGACATTTAATTGCCATTATGACAGTGTTAAGAGGTGGACACTTTGAGAGGTGATTAGGCCATGAGGGCTTTGCCCCATTGTCATGGGTTTTTTTTAGAGACAGGGTCTTTCTTTATCACCCAGGCTGGACTGCAGTGGTTCGATCATAACTCACAAGGGACTGGAACTCCTGGACTCAAGCCATCCTCCTGCCTCAGTCTCCGAAGTAACTTTAAGTTCCCAGCCATGATTGGACAGATGCTGGCCATGTCCCATTTGCTTCTAGTTCCCTTTCCCTTACTAATTGTTACTAGATTTTTATCAAAGGCTGACTTGCAAAGAACAAAAAGCCATAAGACTTCTTTGCTTACTTTATCTGACCCCTAGGTCCCTTCTCCTGCTTTTATGGTTCCAATATGACAGCTATTTCAGACCTCAAAGAGTTTTTTCTTAATAAACGACTGCTGGGCTGGGCGCGGTGGCTCACGCCTGTAATCCTAGCTCTCTGGGAGGCCGAGGCGGGAGGATTGTTTGAGCTCAGGAGTTCAAAACCAGCCTGGTCTCTACTAAAAATAGAAAGAAATGAATCAGATAACTAAAAATATATAGAAAAAATTAGCCGGGCATGGTGGCGCATGCCTGTAGTCCCAGCTACTCGGGAGGCTGATGCAGAAGGATCGCTTGAGCCCAGGAGTTTGAGGTTGCTGTGAGCTAGGCTGACGCCACGGCACTCACTCTAGCCAGGGCAACAGAGTGAGACTCTGTCTCAAAAAAAATAAATAAATAAAAAAATAAACGACTGCTGGTCACTGACTGGTTCTGACTAGTGTCCTGAGGATGCGTGGTTCATGGACTTGTTCCCTTAATTTCACCTTTTTACATTTCCATTAGGACCTAACTATAAGACATGTAATCCATACATGCATATTAGGATTACATGTATGTAACATATATCCCATAATCACTTGGGGTGGAGATTTAACATTTAAATGTCTCATAGTTAGGTCCTAATGCAGACTAAATGACTATATTAGAAGAGAGTTCTGAAATAAATGACAGTCCACCTTAAGAAATTAGGAAAAGACAGACAAATTAGATCCTATAGGCAACCCTATATTCACTCTACCATCTTTTTCCTCAAATTTTGGGAGTTGCAGTCTGGCATCAGTGGCAGCAAAAAGTGGCAACCAATGAAAGCCATTTCCACATGATTCACCAGGAACACTGGATAAATTGCAAAGCCGCATCCCTGTAATACTAGATATCTCCTTTCTCTCACTGTTTTCTTGCCTGTGCAGCAACAGTCGTGAGTTGAGCCACCTAGAGCCTTTGGGAATCCATACAATGTTTAGATTTGTCCTATGAGTGATACTGATCACAGGAGGGACATAGCTCTGTAAGTGCTGAGACTTTCTGTACACCCCCATTTTGTACAGCCACAGTATGGGAACAGCTGAGCATGCACCTTTAGAAATGGCATAGCCCCCTTCTAGGATGCTGCAATCTCCCCAACTTCATGCTAGTAACAACCAGTGTTTCTGTACCAATTGCAGTTCCCACCTGGCTCCTGGAGGTCTTCCAGACAATGGCATCTGCCTCCTGGATTCTTGAACTCAGGCTCCTTGGCAATTACCAGGAGCCAGCTTCTCCTAAAGTGTCTGGGAATGTGCAACATTGGATGGGAATTAGGGACCAATTCATGCTGCTCCCAAATGCTCTAGAGCTGCAGTCCTCCATCCCCAGGCCACGGCCCAGTATTGGTCCATGGCCTGTTAGGAAATGGACCATACATCACCACCTGAGCTCCACAACCCCACCCCCACTCCCACCCCATGGCACTCCGTTCCACTTCCCCAGTCTGTGGAAAAGTTCTTTCATGAAACCCATCCTGGTGCCAAAGAGTTTGGAGATCATTGCTCTAAAGGTTGTCACAACTGCCCTCTCCTCATGGTTACCTCCGAACCAACAAGTACAAATGGCATCCAGGCCATGATTTGTCTCACACAGTCCTTCAGAATTTCCCACATTCTGGGTTTTGCTTATTACATTTTCATGATCTAGTAACATGTATCTCTAGCTCCTATATTGCTTATACATTAGTTTTTAGACGTAGAGATCATCAGGAGGCAGCTAAATGTCTAGTTGTCTTTTTGCCATGTTAAGATCAACCAGCTTTAGGTGTTGTCAGCCTTATTTGTTCATTTCAGAGTTTCTCACCTCCTTAGAAGGTCTTGGGCAGCAATGCAAATTACATCAAAACTGGAGTCAGAGGTATTTTCTGCCATCATACTGTCTTCTCTGAGGCACAGAAATGTGGGGACTCCCACAATATCTGTTGGCCCTTTCATGCTGGCAGAACACAACTGTTTCCTCAATACAATCCACACAATAAACAGAACCCCCAAGATTAAAATTGGCTTAAAGAATAGGCCTTTATTGTCACATAAACACGAACAATGTGAGACAGGAAGTTCCAGGGCTGGGTGGCTTAGAGATTGGATATATCTATCATGAGCATCACATGAGACCAAAAAATCCACGAAGGTAAGCTTCTGCAAGCTACCTGTAGAACCCTTCTTGTGTTCTTTGGAACAAAATTGATTATTTCCATGCCAATTACATCAAAAGCGAGAAAATGAGGACCTCTGGTACAGTGAGACCACTCATGACTCCTAGGGACTGGGGCAAGAACAGAGGTCTGCCTGTAGTAAGTATGCTGGAGGGACACACACTGTGCCACTCTGCCAGATGATGGTAGTGAATGGCTCCTGCCCTGGCAAAGGCCTTTGGCTGTTTAGAAAGTGCAACCTGGCTCCTGAAAGCACCTCACATACTTGCCACTCACAGGGAATCTCCCCAGGTGGATGTCGCTACATATGAGGTTCCGCTTCTGACTGATGGTTCTCTTACAAAAGCTACTCTCAGAGCTTTGCTCTGGGGTGAGCTGTTAGGCTGAACAAAGAGACAGTACATTCCCTGTCCTCCTAAGGACTCTGTCCAGTGAGAAATTCCCAATGACAGGTAAGGTTCAGCCTTTAGTAAAGGCTTTCCTGCATATGCTGTCATCAGAATCACTGTTAGTTCTCCAAAGTACCCTAAGTTTAGGGTGTTGGCCAAAGGGTTTTCCCACATTCACCATACCCTTAAGGCTTTTCTCCAGCATGAATCCTCTGGTGCAGAACCAGTGTCTGTTTCCGGATGAACTCTCTTCCACATTCGCTACATATATAAGGCCTTTCTCCAGTGTGGACTTCCCAGTGCCTGATAAGATTCGGCCTTTGGGTGAAGGCTTTCCCACACTTGCTGCACTCATAGGGCTTTTCTCCAGAGTGAACTTTCTGGTGCTGAATGAGTTTAGAGATGCCACTAAAGGCTTTCCCACATCTGCTACACTCATAATCACTGCTGTGAATTCTCCAATGTACATTAAGGTGGGAACTTTGGCTAAAGGCCTTCCCGCATTCACTGCACTCATAAGGCTTTTCTCCAGTGTGAGTTCGCTGATGCAGAACAAGTGTGTGTTTGCGACTAAACTCCTTCCCACATTCGCTGCATACATAAGGCCTGGCTCCTGTGTGAACTTCCTGGTGTCGAATGAGATTAGACTTACTGCTGAAGAATTTCCCACATTTGCTGCACTGATAGAGCCTTTCACCTGTGTGAACTCGCCTGTGCTCAATCAGGCCAGAGATTTGTCTAAAGAATTTCCCACATTCGCTGCACTCATAAGGCCTTTCTCCAGTGTGAACTGTCTGGTGTTTGAAGAGGTCGTAGCTCTGGCTAAAGAATTTCCCACATTCACTACATTCATAAGGCCTTTCTCCAGTGTGGATTCTCTGATGTCGTGCAAGTGTGTCTTTGCGGGTGAAGGCTTTCCCACAATCGGCACACTTGTGATACCTCTGTCCAGCGGGAAAGCCCCCCTCAAGCTTGGTGCTCTTATGGGGCTTCATCCTGCTGGGAGGGGTCTGGTGCTGAAGAAGGCTAGAGGTAGCTGAAAAGTTCATGCCACCTTCCCCACATGTGTGGATCTTCTCTGGCACATGGACTCTGCAGCTGTTCACAGAGTCCCTACCCTGATCCCTTCCGAAGGGCTTCTCTCCACTGGGCTTCTGGTGCTGGTCAAAGTTTGTACTGAACCAGAATTGCTTCCCACATGCCCCACAGGTGTGTGGTTTCTGCCTGACTTTTTCTCTCTGGTATTCAGCCAGGTGTAAGGTATCTTTCAGTGAGAGACCACACATGTCACATGGGTGGGTCTTCAGCTCTGCCATGGGTGTCGTGGTCTGCAGCACTCCTTCCACAGAAACACTCTGCTCACAAGGTGCCTCCTCATCCTCAGCTCCATGCCAATAATCTGAAAGCACAGAAATGCTAATGAAATGCTTGCTGACTTTGGTGGGAGGAGGCAGCCCCATCATAAATGTGTGTTGGACACACCCAGGAATGAGACTATTTTCAGGATGAGGGGCATCATCAGGTTCAGGAAGAGACTACTGTAAGGCACTGGGCCTCTGAAGGTTACACAAAGGCAAAACAAAGGGCGAGGATACATGGGTGGGACAGAGCAAACGGCTTCCAGGAGGACCTTCACTGTTGGTGACAGGTGAGTACTATGTAAAATGCATCCAGGCCCTGGAAAATCCCTTTACAAATGAGTGGTTGGTGTTCAAAGACTAAAGCTATATGCACATTGCCTGAACATGAAATGTAGGTCAACACTGCTGGAACGTACAGAGCCGTCGAAGGAATGGGTGTGAGGTAGAGGCCAGAGAAGTGAGGGATGGCAAGAGATGTCAGACTGGAAATAAGTCTTAGTGTCAAGAATGAGGAAGGAGAGGTCAAAATGTTGTGTGGTCACTGGCCTTGCAAACAAACACTGGTGTGCACAGTTAAGGCTGCTGTTTGTGAACCCTGAAGTGGTATCATGACATCCCCTGATGTCTACTCAGCAGGTCCAGCTCCCATCTGGGCCTCTCTTTTTGTGGCTGGAGTCACATCCACCTGGTCCAGCTCTTCTCCTGGCTCCAGTTGTATGACTACATGTGACCTGGAAGATGCGATTCCTAAGGGAAAGCCAGGACAGATGAGCAGCCAGCACTGGCCCCGAGCAACCCACCCTATGATGAACCACAGGTAAGAAAAATAATTATTACAAAAAGAACCTAAAAGAAAAGTTTTGCAGGAATATCCCAAAGGGCCCCATAAGTAGTGATTATGTGAGTGCCTCTGGCATCCAGGCCCCAAAAAATGTCACCTGGGGAAAGAGGCAGAATCTTGGGCACAGAGGCACCACAATTTTGGACAGATTCACCAGCCCAGAAAGTAACCGAATCTGATGAGATCCATTGGGCAAACCATAAGTCTTGTGACCCCAAACCCTCGGCTGCATGGCTTCAGGGCTCCTCAGCCAAAAGTGAGGACACTCCATACAGCTTAGCCCTGACATCCATGGCACCCTCCCCAGCAAACTGGTGAAGGCAGCAGTGCTTGTGATCTGACCACAAGAAGGACAGAGTAGTCCCTGAGGAAAAGGAGAAAGGCAGGTGGTTATGAGGACCTTACCGAGTGAGGCTAAAAGTGCAAAGGTTTCCAGCATCACATCGTGGTATAGGAGTCTCTGAGCATTGTCAAGAAGCTCCCATTCTTCCCGGGAGAAGTACACAAACACATCCTCAAAGATCACACAGCGCTGCAAAAACAAGGTCCATGAAGTCTCTTGACCAATGGTCCTTAACTCTATCTACCCACAATTTTCTGCTCATCCACCTCCCAGGTCCCCAAGTTAGAGTTACCAGGGAGTGGTACCACTGGCCCTCACTCTCTCCTGATTACCCCAGCAATCACTGTGTCAGCCCACAGCAACAACAGGCAGGTTGAGCAATAAATGCCATTTACATTCTGAGCCAGCAATTCCCCTGGGGTACCCCAGATCATGAATCCCAATATGAACCTGAGTTCACTATTCTCTCTTAAGCCCCACCCCAAAGGACCCTAGGATCATCAGATCACACTTTTTCGTCTCATACACATTACACTTTAGACCATGCCTCCCTCACATCTCCAGCTTCCCACTGCCACCCTTCTGGCCCATCCCACTGACATCTCCCTAGACTCCCGAAATATCACTCTACACATGGCATCAAGAAAGTGCTTGCCAATGCAATCAGTATTCCATCTTGCCTCAAACCCTCAATGGCTCCAATGTCAAGGAAATTTCCATTCCTGTTTTAAAAATCTACCAATATAGCCCTGTTCCTTTTCAATCACAGGCACCCAAAACCATATGCAGATCTCAGGCACCCTCAGCCCTCTTCCATGTCTTTGTTGTGCATTGTACTGTTCCTGTAATAAACTACTACTTAACTTCATAGCTTAAAACCACATCTGTAATTACTTCATCCACTGAAGTTTTGAACCACCCCCCTCAAAGTCATCCATGAAGGTTGGAATCAACTTCTTCCAAACTCCTGTTAATGTTAATATTTTGACCTTGTCCCATGAATCATAAATGCTCTTCATAGCATCTAGAATGGTGAATCCTTTCCGGAAGGTTTTCAATTGACTTTGCCTAAATCCATCAGAGGAATCACTATCTATGGTGGCTATAGCCTTATGAAATGTATTTCTTTTTTTTTTTTTTTTTGAGACAGAGTCTCACTGTGTTGCCCAGGCTAGAGTGAGTGCTGTGGCGTCATCCTAGCTCACAGCAACCTCAGATTCCTGGGCTCAAGCGATCCTCCTGCCTCAGCCTCCCGAGTAGCTGGGACTACAGGCATGCGCCACCATGCCCGGCTAATTTTTTCTATATTTTTAGTTGGCTGATTAATTTCTTTCTATTTTTAGTAGAGACGGGGTCTCGCTCTTGCTCAGGCTGGTCTCGAACTCCTGAGCTCAAACAATCCGCCCGCCTCAGCCTCCCAGAGAGCTAGGATTACAGGCGTGAGCCACCGCGCCCGGCCTGAAATGTATTTCTTAAATAATAAGACTTGAAAGTCAAAATTATTCCTGGATCCAAGGGCTGCAGAATGAATATTGTGTTAGGAGGCATGAGAACAACATTCATCTCCTTGTAAATCCTCATCAGAGCTCTTGGGTGATGCGATGCATTGTCAATGAGTGGTAATATTTATAAAGAAATTTTTTTTTTCCAAGCAGGTCTCAACAGTGGACTTAAAATATTCAGTAAACCATATTATAAACAAATGTCCTGTCATTCAGGCATTGTTGCTCCATTTGAAGAGCACAGGCAGAGTAGATTTAGCATAATTCTTAAGGGCCCTAGGACTTTCAGAATGATAAATGAGCACTTGTTTCAATGTAAAGTCACCAGCTGTATTAGCCCCTAACAAGAGAGTCAGCCAAGATTGAACCAAGAAGAAACTGAAAATCTAAACAGACCAATAACAAGGTGCAGTGAGCTAGGCTGACACCACTGTACTCTACTCAGTGCAACAGAGTGAGACTCAGTTTCAAAAAAAAAAAGTCAACTCAAAATGGATTAAAGAGACTTAAACCTAAAATCTTAAAACTGCTAGAAGAAAACACGGGGGAAAGTTCCAAGACATTGGACTGGCCAGAGATTTCTTGGATACGACCCCAAAAGTGCAGGCAATGAAAACAAAAATAGACAAAAGGGACTGTAACAAATGAAGATGCTTCTGCTGCTTCTTTCAAGGGAAACAACAGGGTGTTAAAAGAAAATATTTACAAATCATACATTGGACAAGGGGCTAATACCCAAAATATTAATATAAAGGAACTCAAAACTACTCAATAACAAGAAAACAACCATATCAAAAATGGGCGAAAGACTTGAATAGGCATTTCTCAAAAGAATACATACGATTGACCTGCAGATATATAAAAACATGCTCATCTCTAATCATCAGAGAAAGGCAAATTAAAATCACAAGATGTCACGTCATACCTGTTAGATATGCTATTATCAAAAAGATCGAAGGTAACAAGTGTTGGCAAGGATGTGGAGAAAAGAGAATCCTTATACACTATTGGTAGTATTGTAATTAAGAGTAGCCATTTTGGAACAATATGGAGGTTCTTCAAACAACTAAAAATAGAATTTCCATATTCCAGCAATCCCACTACAGAGTATGTACCGAAAGGAATTAAAATCAGTATTTCAAAGAGATATCGGTACTCCCATGCTCATTGCAGCAGTATTCACAACAGCCAAGTTACGGCAACAATCTAAGTGTCCATCAGTGGATGAGTGAATTTTTAAAACATGGTTTACATACACAATGGAATATTATTCAGCATTAAAAAAAAAAAAACAAGGCCGGGCGCGGTGGCT